AAGATCAGTGGCTAGGAACCCTGCCAGGGCTGGGTGTCCACCTAGGGTTGCCAGATGGTTTAACGAAAAATACCGAACACCTCCCATGCACAGCCTCCCCTCCCCCCCCCCAAAAAAAAAAAACAAAACAAAAAAACTCAACAAAGCACTGGGGAAAAATTCTATTGTGAAAAAATTCTATTGAGAAAAAATGGGGGAGACCAAAGTTGAGCATAAAAAGAGTTATTAAGCATAAAAAAATAAATAAAAAAACCCAGCATGGCCCCTTTAAGGCAGCATGGCTTTAACAGGCGGCCAGTGGCCATCTTGTTTTCCTGTTCTGAGTCAGAAGACAGCTCCCCTGAGGAACCAGGTAAGCAGGGTGACTGGTTGCTGAGTGCGTGGAGGGTTGCCAGGTGTCCGGTGTTTTCGCCTCCTGGCAGGGGGAAAAAAATAAATCAGAAGATACCTGACAGTCCAGGTCAATACCGGACACCCGGCAACCCTATGTCCACCAGAGCCAGCAGCAGAGGGGCTGGCAGCTGGGATCCCAGATGGGGCAGTGGGCCAGCAGCCAGGAGCCCTACAGGGGCAGTAGCTGGTGGCAGTGTGTCCAGGAGCCCTACCAAGGTGGCAGCCAGGAGTTTTGCTGGAGCAGCAACCAGTGGCAGTGGGGCCAGGAGCCGTGCCGGGGTGGCAGCCAGCAGTAGAAGAGCTGGAAGCCCTTCTGAGGTTGTGGGGGGTGGGGGAGCATTGACTTTCCTGGTCTGGCAAACTCCCTCATTTGGGATCGGTCAGGTCCTGAGGCTGCCGCACCAGCAGAATTAGGAATAGTATACCTAGATTCCGTGAGCTCTAACCACCTATAGAAAGTTACAACCCTAGGGAGGAGATAACGAATATAATACCCTTTAGCAAAAGTTTATCCTAAAATGTTTAATTCATTCTTCTCCACCAATGATTTCAAGCTTTGTAAATATGGAGGCTAGGGACTGCTGCCAGGATTGAAAAGAACAGCCATCCTGAGAAATACCCCACAAGTTATACTCTCACTCTGCTTGGCAGAATTTAATTAAAGATGTTTTCAACCGTGTTCTAAAGACAGCAACTCATTATTAAAATAACATTTTAAATGTAGAGAGTACCACCCATGCCCAAAAGCCACAGAATGGCTAAAGAAATAAAGGCATGGTCACACAGTGCATTCCAGAACTGGCAAACAGACATTCCCATTAGACCCACTTTCCATCTCTCTATAAATACGACCCACAAACAAAGCCCAGGACTGTTACAGAAGCAACAACTGTAACAATAGATTATCGGGCTGGCTATATAAATGGCCCAACTGCACATGGATTTCAAGAGTGCATCTGGGATCTTTGGAAAAATAGGGGTTTGGAGAAGCAAGGACCTCTGCTAAGTGCACACTGCTATTGTGGCATACAACTGACCTTTGACTAACTGGGTTCATTTTTAAAAGAAAGAAAACTGCACATTTAACAATATTCATTTACTTCCTGTGCAATCCTAAATTACCTGTGTAGCTATCTGCCTGATTGTCTTGCACTTCCACCCACCACAGTAATATCTGAGTACCATTCCCATTAAACAGACAAACAATCAAAGTAAGAGCGCAGACCCACTGATTTCAATGGGAATTAGAAGCTGTCTTTGTGGCTCTGGGCCTAGAAAACTTCTTAAAATCTCTGACTCTTCTCCCATTTTGGATTACAGAGCTCTTTGCTTAAAACAGAGTTGCTTGTGAGTTTTATTTGTTTATGATGGGGGAGGGGAAGAGTAGAAAACAATCAGTGATTGATGTTGTAAATGCCTCTCTAGTTATGGAGAGACACAACTTTGGCAAATAGGAAAACCTCTTAATTAATTGCTCATCCCTGCCATTTCTGCTTGCAATAAATTTCCACGCTGCTCTTGTAGCAGGGTGCTGTGCACAGCACAAAGAGCTAAGAATTTCCTGTGTTCTAATATCTGCTTTGACACTAACCCACCTCAATAGCTTTGGCCAAGTCATTTAATTCCAGTCTCAATTTCTCCCTCTAAAATGGAATCAACAACAACATCTGTTTTACTAGGGTGTTGTGAGATTAATGAATCAGCCAGTGTTAGCTTTGGATAACATCTACATTTATGAAGATATGGTACTTGCACCTGAATTTGAATTTGATATATATTTGTTTGTAATCATGTTGTGTTCTTTGGAATGCCTACACATAAATATAGCTTAATTATTTAGATATAAAAATGTTTCATGGGGTGTATTTTGTGCTATATAAACATATAAATACAAATATTATTATTACTATTACTGCTACTACAAGTATTTCTATTGCAGTAATGACCTAGGTATCTTCAAAAAGCCTGAATGAAAAGAATACGACACAGCTCATACTACTTTAATTATTAAATTTACTTCATGTGGAAGCTGCAACTTGATTAAAATAAGCATGTAATAAATCAATTTCATACACCAGTCATAAGGCAGCCAGTGCACTTTATCAGAGATTTCAAAAGCTGCACTTACAACACAGTCAGATTTCTTTGACCTAGTTGTTTATGCTCAACTGTTTTTAAGCGTGGGTCTTTTTTTTTTTTTAAACATCTACTGATAACAATTTACGACATAATTTATTTACACAGCACCTAATCTATAAAAATATTCTAAGAGCTTTAAAAAACACAACAAATCCAGATGGCAAAACAAACATACCAGATTAAAAGAAAGACAATTAAAATCGGTAGAAAGCCTTAAATAAAATTGACATGGGGTATAGTCAAAGAGGATTTATGCAAATTACTTTTCCAAGCACACCAAATCTTTCCCAACATAACCACGTGTATTATAGACAGAAGACATCTAATCAAATAGATCTTGCATGTGCAAAACCTCCCTCATTTTCTGATGAACAATTCCCTTTCTGGATTATTTTATTGATTATCTTCAAATCTGTTTCATATTTCACCGTTTGTATTTTATGGTGAGTTTTTTTTCAGAGTCCAAGAGTTATCATGGACTGGACCAGATTCATAGCTGGTGAAAAAGACACAATGCAGTTAATTTGAACAGAATTAAATCCATTTACACTGATGTGATTTTGTCTGTCTCCTGTCCCCTCTTATTTCCCTTAAGTGTGACAATTATGGACGGTGTAATAGCCAATACACCAGGAATTAAGTAGGTGACATAAACCTAAGAATAAAGAGCACAGATTCTAAAAATATAAGTTTCCTGAAACATTGCAGACGAGTAGTCTTCCAATCAGTTTTCTCATTTTTCAACTTTTGAAATAAACACACTCCTTCAGAGTAGAAGTGATGTGGTTCTCTACACTTCCAAAGCTTTAAATTACCACACAGCAACCAAAGGGTCAAGTGTTCAAAAAGCACATTTAAATAAACCACATGGGTCTTTTGGACATAAATGAAATGCAACTGTACAGTGAAACATTTGATAAGAATAACACAGAAGTGCATTGGCAAAGCTGTGAAAGGGAAGTTTACACGTGGCAATGTGCCTGGTTCACATCATCATCTGAAGAAGTGGGTTGTGCCCACGAAAGCTCATGATACCATCTACATATTTTGTTAGTTTCTAAGGTGCTGCAGAACTATTGGTTGTTTTTTAATGTCAGATTTTTAGGTGCACTGAATTCAATCCCAAAAGTCAAAACAAGAAATGAGAGCACAGCTTATCTTTTTATCAAAAGCATGTGGCGCTCACTCCTACAAAGCCATCCTCCTAGTGTGGCGATATAAGTACAAGTCCTAAAATAACTTTTTTAAATTAACATATGCTACCCTCCCTCTTCCCTCTTTTGTTGTAACTGTTAAAGCTAAATATGAAACTACCATAGCTATCCGGGAAATCTAAAATAGGGTGTTCTTCCCTATTAGCAACTGTTCATTTTATATAATACATTTCCTCAACAAAAGGGCACCAGTCCAAAAACTGGCTACATCTTCCAGACCAATCCTAACTGAAATCTGCTCATTCCCACAGGAGAGAATCTGTGAATTTAATACCTATCTAGGAAGCTAACCAGCCCAAAGTGCTTCAAGACAAGGTAGCGACATAATAGGTGTCTGTTACTGAACCAATTCCAACACAACAAGAATGATATACAAATGAAATTTGCCATACAGTTTAATAATAATTATAACAACTTTTTGTTCTTGGGGCTTCTAATTTGCCAATTACATATTTGGTAAACCAAGAACAGTTTTATTTGCCCATAATTAGCACCGTACCAGTATCGCTTGTATACTTGCCTTCCTTCACCACACTGCTGCATATCACTGAGAACTAATAAACTCAGTCCTACAAAATGGAGTCAATTTCATCACAGAAAATAATTGTATATCAGCCCCACTACAAAGCTGTCTTTTAAGTTTTTCAGATGCCTGTGGGAGCTTTCCATGGCTCCTAGGGGACTAAAAGCTTTTTCTTTCCCAATCTGTACTGTTACAGTTTGTGATCATCATTAATATTTGACTAGAGAAAGATTTCTCTCTCGAAAGGTTAGTGTTCCCTCTACTGGGAAAAAAAATACACAACTGCATAAGAAAAAAAGGAAAAAGAAAGATGTGGGACGGGTGACCCAGAGTGAGAAAACCAAATCCAGAATCTGAAACTACCCACTCAAGAATAAAAAATGAAAACATATTCAAAGTCTCCAAGGCTGACAGCACAGAATATATTATAGTTTTTATCTTTAGGAGAGAAAAAAGGTATCCACATCAGAAGATCCCCTAGTCTGGAGGAACAAGGATAGATTTGGGGGGGAGAGAGGGGGAGAAAGCCACACAGATCCCTTTTGTGCAATCACAAGTGATTTGCCATCGTTTTAAAAGTCATCAGGCCAGTCTCTGAAAACAGAAATGCCATTATTAATGAGATTTTCAAGTAAACACCACCAGAAAAAAAATACCTCTTTGCCAACAACCGAATACGTAGTCACTTAAAAGAGAGAGAGAGAGAGAGAGATTTCTAGCTTCGGTCTTACCTCCAGAAACAAGGCGAGCAGGACTAGGACCCACCGCTGGGAAAGGTTCATTTCGCCTCTTCTTGTCTCCTTATTTTCTCAGATGGACACGAGAGCTGCCGGTGTAGCGAGCAAAACACTAACTTCTCAGAATTTGCTACTTTGGGTGCACTGAGCATGCGCACCCGAACTGAGCAAACTCAGTGTCCCTCGCTGTAGCCGCTGCCCTCTCTCTGCCCTCACTGCCTCCTCAGATTTGCTTCCTCCTCTTCGGAGGTGTTTAAAATGATGAAGGGGGGCAAATTGCAGGGGGGGTAGTGTCTGGTTCTGAGCATGGGGCAGAAATTTACCGGCTGGAGGCATCAATCTTCTTTTTTTAGCTGCAGAAGAGGGGCAAAATTTGAAAAATCGGGGGGGTGGGGGGTGATAGCCTTGGTTAACCCCGGGCTGGGGGACACTGCCAGACCCTGTGCACGGAGAAAACCCCCGTTTAGGGAGGGGGAGAGGTGGGAACAGTCATCCAGCAGGACAAGCCACCTGATGTCCTTGAAAATATCAGTTTTCCAGGGGCAAAGTCTTTTTTTTTCTTTATTTTCCCTGGACGCTGCCTGTCAGCCCCCGAGCCCCCGCAGCCCGGGCTCCCCCCTCACGGGGGCCTCCGCGCCGCTTCCGAGGCGTGAGGGCGGGGCTGGAGCGCAGCCGCCCGCCTGGGCCACTCCGCGGGGGCTCGCAGGTAACGCAGCAGAGCTCGGGTGAGGGGCCAGCTCGGCCTGTGGACATACAGGGGCATCCCTCGCACCCCCCCTTCCCGCCCCCTCTGGCTCGCATCAACTAGCCTCGGGCACATCCAGGCTAACGGGGCTGGGATGCGTTTTCCTGCGCAAAACTCCACTTGGTCGGATGAAGCGGGGGTTTTGCCCTCCAACGCTTATGCCCCAACTAGTCCTGTTAGCCTGCACCTGCAAAAACAAGGAGTCCTGGGGCACCTTTAAAGACTAACATGGGTGCCCCTCTGATATTTAACTCACATGTTACTGCGTTTCCTCAGAGGGTGAAGGTACCTTGTAGAAGAATTTAGGACCAAATTTTCAAAAGAAACCACTGATTTTTTTTTTTGATCTTCCATTTCTCGTGGATTAAGTGAGGCTCGACTGGATCTGTCCGATAGTCGTAAGCATCCACAGCTTCCATGGAAGTCCATAGAAGCTGCAAAGTGATGGCCACCATTTTGGTCAACATCAAGGTTGGAACTAGGGAATCTGCTTTAAAAGCTGCTTAAATTAAAAGGGTTAGGCTCTGTTAGCAAAGAACTGTAACAGACTTGCATTCTCTGTGACTTGGCCACCTAACACAAGTGACTGATGGGTTACACACGACATCTAGAAAAGTCCAATCCAAGTTATCTTCATCAGCACTTTTGAAAATTTGGCCCATAACCTTTGATGTGAAATGAGAAGCAATGCATGTGAATAACTGACTAAAATCAAATGTAGTCTCAATAGTCTTCAACGACAGGGCTCTGTCCTGCACTTGCATTAGAATTTAACTTACTTTCCCTCTACTACTGAGGGAATTGTGCACCAAAACAATTAAAAATGCTGCACACAATATGTTAAAATTCTGCAAAATTGGTCAAAGTAATTTGGAGGTTCCAGTATGGCAGTGGGGGAGCATGTTTCACTGGCTGCACAGAAGTTAGAGATCATCCTGCAACCTTTCTTCCCCCAGACATGGACTTCATGGTGGGGCTGCACCTGACTCTGACACAGTGCGAGATTCTGTACTGCCCAGGGATACCCTAGGGTATTATAGTGAAGCCACATCAAGTGCCCCTGTGAGTGGCATGGATAAGAGAATTCTGGACGCTAAGTTTCCCCAAAATGGCTGGCCATGCAGGAAGATAAGTGCCTTATATACAGCTCAGGTGATTTGTTTCTGGAAGCATACTGGCCTGCTGTGTTTGGAGCACCAGAAGCAAAGCTCTGTAGAAGTGTATGGACTTGGAAGAAGAGAAGGAGCAAGAGAGTATGGGGAAAGGCTAGGAAAATAAATTTAAGGGGCCTATGACCTAAGCCTTTTTGTTGGCTTCAGAGGCTAACTCTGTCTGTGTTTCCAGTTGATAACCCACTCTGGCCAGTGTTCACCTCAAACAGCTCTGGGAAACAGTGGCATCTCCTGTCTTTGGTTTCTGTCTGGAGGTGGCTCACTATGCTGCCCCTACAGCTCCCATTGGCCACCACTCCCAGCTAACAGGAGCTCAACTGCAGAACCAGCACTTGAGGCATGGGCAGTGTGCAGAATCCCCGACTGCCCCTACACATAGGAGCTGGAGGGGGGAACATGCTGCTCTCTCACAGAGCAATGACAGGCAAGGAGCCTACCTTAATCCTGCTGCACCAACAGCCTGGTTGATGGTGCTAATTGAAGCAAGGGTCCCCTTTTGACCAGGCGTTCCAGTTGAAAACTGCTCCTGGCAACTCTGAGTAGCTGAGAGCCAGCTGTCAGGTATTCTTCATTCACTATATAACCCAACTCACATTACTGACACACAAGTTAGACTGGTGATCAAGTAGGTGACAAAAGTTTTGACTTGGAAAATGACAAGGTGGATGCAGGGGATATAGTGCACTTAGATTTTCAGGAAGCCTTTGACAAGGTCCCTCACCAAAGACTCTTAAGCAAAGTAAGCACTTAAGAGATAAAAGGAAAGGTACTCTCATGGATCAGTAATTGATAACAAGATAGGAAACAAAGGGTAGGAATAAATGATCAGTTCTCAGAATGGACAAAGGTAAATAGAGGTGTCCCCCAGGAGTCTGTGTTGGAACTAGTGATGTTCAACAAATTCATAAATGTTCTATAGAAAGATGTAAACAGTGAGGTGACAAAATAGGCAGATGATGCAAAATTACTCAAGATAGTTAAGTAAAGCAGACTGCAAAAAATTACAAAGATGTATCACAAAACTGGCAGGTGAAATTCAGTGTCGAGAAATACAAAATAATGCACATGAGAAAACATAATCCCAACCATGCATTCAAAATGATGTATAAATTAGCTGTTGGTACCCAAGAAACAGATCTTGGTGTCATTGTGGAAAGTTTTATGTAAACATCTACTCCGTGTGCAATGGCAGACAAAACTAAAAATTTTGGAAATTGGTGGGAAAGGGATAAGACAAACTATCATATCGCCTCTATATAAATCCACGGTACACCCACATTTTGAATACTGTGTTCATATCTGGTCACTCCCCCCTGGTCTACACTATTTAATAACACCAAGCGGAGTGCCCACACTACCCAGCCTGTTGTTTTGAAATAATGGGCTGATTATTGTGAAATAATAACTCCTGCTTTCTAATGAGGAATAACACTAATAATAATAGTGGTAATGTGGACATTCTGGTGTCCCACTACTTTGAAATAACTACTCCCCAGAGTAATTTAAACTAAATCCTCCCCAGTGATTCCTGGGGTCTAAATGAAGGTAGCGCATCCACATTAACGGAGTCTGCCTCAGACTAATTTTGAAACTTCCCCATAGTGTGAGCATGCTATTTCAAAATTATTATTTTGGGAGTTATAATTTTGAAATAAATGTTTCTGAAATAATTTCACAGTGTAGACATGCCCTCCATTTCTAAAAAAAAGATATACAGGAACTGGAAAAAGTACAACAAAAATGGTTAGGGTAATGAACAGCTTTCATATGAGGAGAGATTAATAAGACTGGGACTTTTCAGCTTGGAAAAGAGACAACTAAGGAGGGTAACAGAGTTCTATAAAATCATGATCGGTGTTAAAGTAAATAAGCAAGTGTTATTACTCCTTATAACACTAGAATTAATAGGCAGCAGGTTTAAAACAAATAAAAGGAAGTATTTCTTCACACAGTTTGTGGAACTCTTTATTAGAATGTTGTAAAAACAAAAACTGTAAGAGAGAGCAATAAATAACTAGATAAGATCATGGAAGATAGATCCATCAATGGCTATTATCCAGGATGGGCATGGTTACAAAATCATGTTTTGAAGTGTCCATAGCCTGTGTTTGCCAAAAGCTGGGAATGGGTGAAAGAGGAGGGATCACTTGATTATTATCTGTCCTTTCCTTCTGAAGTACCTGGCATTGGGCACTGTTGGAAGACAGGATACTTGGGTCATTAAACTGACCCAATATGGCTGTTATGTTGATATGGTTGCTGAGGAGGAGAAAATTCTGAGCTTGAAAGGAAGGCTATAGCAGAGCCTAGTGGCATATGCCACCTCATTTCTAGTGTATCATAGTGTTATTCTTGATAGAAATTATCTTTGCAGATAAGGTTATTGATATCCACATCTATACAATTGTCTCTCTACCAAGTGCTAAATTGAAAGAACAGAAGTAGTTAGTAGCTCCTGGCACAGGAATAAAAAGTTTCAGATTTCCATTTATAACCTGGCTCCAGCAAGTGGTGTCAGCAGTCATCTTTGGTCACCAGGGGCTAAGTCATCCATGGTGTAAGTCCACTTCATTTAATAGCATTACGCTGGAAAGTCACTTAGCCCAGCAGGTAGCATTTTTGTCATCTGTGAAAGCATGTGTTTCAGAAAAACCATTTGGAACTTGTCTATCAGATAAGGAACACTTTCCTCCTACCACATTACAGCACATCAGCAATGCATCCACAAGACACATGATGCACCAGTCAATTAGAACAGCTGACTTGGACATATCTTTTCTTCTTGGCAAGTTCTCAATAAAATAAAATAAAATCCGTATTTTGCATTCTAATTTCACTGTCTCTTAAGACCACATTTAAATGGTTTAGCACGTCAAAGAACAGCCTGGCTATGCCAATATCTGTGCATCAAAAAGCTTTTTTTAAAACCCCAGAATAAAAGTTAATGCTTATCACATAAATGTTTTTATTGAATATTAGTGCTCTTATTAATGCTAAAATAGGCATTCCTATTGTCTCACTGGTGCTGTGTGTAAAATAGATAAGGTATCCTCTAGACTGTGAGAACAGCTGGTATTATATTAACTTTTGTTTCCCAATATGTACTCTCTGTTTATATTGTGAATTATTTGTATTACTGTAGCACCTACGTAGCCCATCATGGACCAGAGTTCCATTTTGCTAGGTGCCATGAACAGAACTAAAAGATGGTCCTAATTAAAAATGTAAAATTGCTTCTTTATATTTGTCAAAGAAAAAACAAGTGATTAGTTCCTTCACTGATTTGTTTTTAACGGTTTGTAAAATTCTGGTACAAATATATTTTGAAGCTTTTCTTTCAGAAATATGTAAATTATAACAAATATAAATAACCTCTCATCTTTAAAACACATAGGAGACACTTGCTGAAATAGTTTGGATAGGAGTGCCTTAGGCTAAAAGATGAAAGTCCCATTGTTAAAACCCTAAATCATGGAACACGTCCCTCACTCTCATCCACCATACTCTCCCTTTTTTCTGATGGCCTAGATTCTGCAGATACTTACAGATATGAAAAGCTTCACACTCAACAATAATCCCATTTTTGTATCAGGGCCTAAATTACTACCAAACTGCTCAAAATAATGATGAGTGATTTCTTATCATGCTCACTATGAATTCC